TCTTAATCCGCTCCAAGTCACCACGACTGCAAATATCTGAATTGCACGCACTCTGAAGGGCAGTATTGATCAATGCTGGCACAGCGCCAAGTTTGGATGTTGCGACTATGGTAAATACCATCTCAGGAGAGTTGGTAGCAAAAACTGCGACGACATCTCCATTGGAAACTCCCTGACGATGGAAAATCGCTGCCAATCTGCTTGCCTCTGCAGCGAATCATGTCAGCTATCGCAGACGGCCAATTGATCGCGACCAGACTCACCAGCGAGAACCTCCCCGTACGTCCAGGTGCGGCCCTCAAACCAAAGAGCCTCTGCCCGTGGGTCTGCTAGCTCGAACATGTGGAAAACAGTCATATCATTGCCCAACGCACCGACGCGTTCCTGGAACCGCTTTCGGAACGACTGTTCGGCGAGCAATTGGTTTATGTCGTAGGAAACCCCATATCGCCTATTGGCGTACAGGGCGCCGACCACAGTCGCTGCCGCGGCAGAGGCCGCAATCGCGACTTTCTCCGTGGGAACTCGTAATGAAGGAGGCATTCTGCTGATGTTGATAATTTGATTGAAGGATTAGTGGGTGTGAGATGTTGCGGAGGCCGTGTTCGAGATGCATATTTGTTGGTCCATTGGCCAATTGAAATACAATGTGCTAAGATCCCCAGATCTGACAAGCTCGGCAAATCGAAGATGCCGAAGTTCGGTCTCTTGTGTGGGGCCTACCGAGCCCGGACCGTCGGGATGCTGTATGGCAAAGTCGGCAAATTACGACGGCAGCCACAACCTTATTTATCGGCTTCTTGTCCCTGAGGAATCAGTTGATTCGCAACACTGAGAATCATCGTCATAACCACAATGTCTACAGCAGCTCAACGAATTCAAGGCCTGGCAGCGCAGCTCCCAGGAGGTGCCGACCAGGCGGCACTGGCACGACTGCAGGCCAAAGATCCGAAGGATGTGGTCAGTGTATCCGAGATCTGACGATTACAACTCATTCTCACTACATCAGGTCATCACGCTCGCAGTCCGAACGCCCTTGACAAAAGCTAAGAAAGGGAAGCTCAAGGATACTCCGCTGGAGGGTCTCTTGGTATCCGTCCTGCAGGTATGTATCGGGTTCTGAGTGTTCGGGCGCTACTGACAATTGCAGAGCACGGTTAAAAAATCCGGCATCGACCCGAAACTGGTCGAGGAGATTGTACTGGGTAATGTTCTTCACAAGGACGCGCCATACACGTTGCGCGCATCAGGTTTCGCCGCTGGATTCCCCGCTACGACTGCTGTTTCCCACGTCAGTCGCTGGTGTTCATCCGGCCTCCTTGCGGTTGAGTCCGTCGCTCAAAAGGTTGCGCTGGGCAGCATTGACATTGGAATCGCTGTCGGTGCCGAGAGCATGAGTAACAATCCCGATAATGGCGCTCCCAAGTTTCCTGATGGATTCATGGCCAATCCCCTCGTTGAGGACGCGACCCGCTTGATGCCTTGGACGTCAGAGAACGTTGCACGAGACTTCAACATCAGCAGAGAAAGACAAGATGAGTATGCAGCGGCTTCGTTTCAGAAGGCTGAGGCCGCCCAGAACGCTGGATTTATGGGAGATGAGATTGTGCCCGTCACAACAACCTGGAAGGACCCCAAGACGGGTGAAATCCAGCAAGTGACTGTAGACAAGGATGACGGCATCCGCGCGGGCACCACGAAGGAGGGTCTTTCCAAGATTCGATCGGCCTTCCCTCAGTGGCCTCCCGCGACGACCACGGGCGGCAACGCCTCGCAGATTACCGACGGAGCTGCCGCGGTCTTGATCATGCGCCGCGAAGTTGCTGAGAGACTCCAACAGCCAATTCTCGGCAAGTTCGTTTTGTCCACGGTGGTCGGGGTCGAGCCACGCGTCATGGGTGTGGGGCCCGCGTACGCGATTCCCAAGCTCCTGAGCAAGGTTGGGCTTTCAAAGGAAGCCGTTGATATCTTCGAAATCAACGAGGCATTCGCGTCTATGGTAGGTTCATCGCACATATCATTGTGATTAAATCATTTCTAATGGTGTTGCCATGCACAGTTGGTCTACTGCACCGAGGCACTTCAGCTTGATCCCGCTCGACTCAACCCCCGCGGCGGAGCGATGTAAGTCGTATTTTCCAATCTCAAGGGCGGCTAATTAATATGGCTATAGCGCCTTTGGCCATCCACTTGGCTGCACTGGTGCCCGTCAGATAGTGACAGCACTGTCGGAGCTCAAGCGCACTGGTGGTAAGATCGCCGTGACGTCCATGTGCGTTGGGACTGTGAGTGTTACCCCAGATCTCCTACCAGAAGGGTTTAGACTAATTGAGGTCCCAGGGATTGGGAATGGCCAGCCTGTTAGTGTCAGAGCAATGAAATCAGGGGCGATGAAATGTGGGGAGATGGAATACGTGTGTATCGTAGGTACCTAGGTAGTCAGCACAATCGAGCAGCGAATCAGTACATCAGTGTTGACTTGCGTCATGCGACGGGGAAGCCGTAGCCGCTGCCAATTGCCGATACATGGAATCAGTAATCCCGCTAAGGGTGAGAGGCGTGTTTCCCCGGGTGTTCCAGGCACTGAAATGGCACGCCTGCTCCACGATCCCCAGTATTGCTAGCCCTCCGCACCCTCCTTTGTCTACCCCAGACCTGGTGAGTGGGGTTGCGAAGCCCATCTGAGCATGAATGTACGCTAGCCTAGCTTGCCTAGCCTCTGCCCATGCATTTTAGGCCCACACAGGACTGCCGGCCGGCCGGATAGGTCTGGGGCTTCGCCCCAATAATGCCCGCATGTGGGGAGCGGCCCCCTCTTACCCCCTAGAGTCCCCATGTTGTCCCATTTAATGACCACAGGCGCGCCAGCGTCGCCAGCGTCCCCAGTGGAGGCTCAATCAATCAAACCCTTCTCCCCAGCTTTCCGTTTGTTGACATCAGCAATGTCTTCTGCACAACCCACCGAAGCCGACAATCGTCCCAAGAAAACACGCACCCGGGCTTCCAAGGCCTGCTTGGTCTGTCGTCAGCGCAAAGTCAGGTGCAATGTCGCCCTGACTGGCAGCCCATGCTCTAATTGTCGGCTCGACCACGAGACCTGCGTGGTTCCGGAGCGGTCGAACCGAAGGTGAGCAGACGCCCTGCCATTGAGCACTGCATCAATTAACCAACATGCTTCGCAGATGGTCGCGCGAGTCGAACTACTCGTCATCCACGGCAGCTCTTCTTGAGCAACACCGTTCCAATTTGCGAAAGCCTCGAAGTAGGCGCCCGGACGGGGCTACCAACTTTGACATGCCACGAAGCCCGAGACCCGACATCCACCAGCACACGGGAGCTTCAGAAACACACATCGTCTTGACTCGACCTCCCTCGCCGGCAACAGAAAATGCACCTCGAGATGACGGACCACCTCCAAGAGACCGAGATGAGCCCTCGCCATGGCACGAGTTTCGGCACAGCGAACGGGCATTCACCACGACGGTGCCCATATCCGCATATCCGTTCCTTACAGTGTCCAACCTGCATCGGCTTCCCCCGGAGGATATTAATTTTCTGGAGCTCAAGAAATGTCTTAGAGTGCCATCTCGTGTTTATCTTGATGAAATCCTCCAGCAGTACTTCCGCTATGTGCATCCGTTCTTCCCCTTGGTCAACGAAGCAACCTTTTGGGACATGTATCACGGCGTCGACCCGGGGAAATCCCCAAACCGGTTCTCGTTGCTCGTGCTCCAAGCGATGCTCTTTACTGCCTGCAGCTTCGTTTCCGCCAACACGCTTGAGCAGCTGGGCTATAGTTCTGTTCGTGCTGCCCGCAGGATCATGTATGGACGAGCTAAGATGCTTTACGACTTCGAGACGGAGAAATCTCAACTTCACATGGCCCAGGCTGCACTGCTGTTGTCATACTGGACACCGCCATTCGAAGAAGCGGCAATCAAACCCAATACCGGCTGGCTCCGTGCGGCCATCGAGAACGCAAGATCAGTCAGGGCTCATCAGTGGAACTTCAACCCGGCTAAACCTGGTTCGTCAAGCGAGGTTCAGATGTCTCTGCGGAAGCTTTGGGTCTGTTGTATCATTCGAGGTGGAACCTTGGCAATCTCGTCACGGCGGTCCTGTCAGAGTCTCGGTCTCGACTCCAACACGACCTTTTCGTTGACATTCGATGACTTCAAAGACGAGATTCACGATTCGAGGGTATATGATCCCCGGACGAAGAAGCAACTTATTGTGGCTTTCCTTGGCCTGGCCGAGATGTGCGCCCAGGTTGTGGCTATGTCTGCACTGCTATTCCCTTTCGACAACAGCGACGCCGGTGCTAAAAGACAGATTGGACTGGTTGAAGAGAATAGCAAGATTTTGATGAGCAAGAAAACGCTGGATCGATGGCACGGGAAGACAGTCGAATGTCTCAGTGATCCGTTCAATCAATCCCGCGACCATCCATCCATCGCCTTGTTCACAAACCTGCAGCACATCTATTACTTGTCAGTCCTACCCTCCTACCCCATTGCATCGGTGCGCCAATCTAACATCCTGTAGCTCTGCGAGAATTGCCTTTGCGAATCGATTGATGCTATCGTGCTACGACAATGAAGGCGCAGCCCCGCGCGATGTTGTGCATCTTCGAGAAGAAGTGCAAGAGTCAACTGTCTCCATAGGGAAGTGTTTGGCAACTCTGACCGAGCTCAACCTAGATCGCTACCTCCCTGTCAGCGTGTAAGTGTCATGTACGGACTGCTGCAAATTGCCCGTCACTAACCTTTCAGTGTCCCGTGTATTGCGTTGCCCCTCGCACTGAACAGCAACACGACCCCGACAAGCCCAAAAGCTCGCATCTTCTCCGAAGCCATGAAGACGTATAGCCGCCTCTATGAGGGTGTCGATGGTCTTGCGAGGGCGATTCGTGTCATCGTCAACCAAGAACGAGATTCGCAGTTGGTGGAAACATCCGAGATCTCCACAACTACCACCTTGGTTGACCGTCTGGATGCGTTCCAGTCAGGATGTTACATGAGACTGGCTCTGACGATCGACCTGAGTCTCTCCCGGGGTAACCTTCCCGATGAAGCAGACCTGCCTGTCACGATTCGAAGCTCTTCCAGTCCAGAGAGCCTGGGACATCCTGCTACGGGACGTCCGCTGCCAGACTCGTGCACTGGAGGCTCGCCGAAGTCCGATATGGACTCATCTGTATCTGACGGCAACACGCCCCGGGCTCAACCGACCACGAATGAGTGGCTCGATCCCAACATTTCTCTCCCACCACTCAGCCAAGCGGACGAAGAAGATGGTTTGTGGCATCTTGCCGAACTTTCTCCCGGCAAGACAGACTACGACATGCTAGAGAGCATTATCTGGTCGGGCCTTGATGATTCAATGTTCTCATGATAGTCGCCAGACGGGTGCTAGGATTGGCTCACTGCTGCTCGTCTCGATCCAGTGGGTGCCTAAGGCTGAGTTGAAAAGTACTAGTTCTCGGCCACTGAGATTCGGTCCGGTTCATATGGAATGATTGGTCAATAAATTGCTCATTCCCGTGTACACGATTCAAGGCCCTGCCACGACAATAAGTGGAGCTGTGCTAGGCCTACAGAGTCAAGTGCAAATTCTCGTGACCCAAGTATTGTCCTGTAGGTCGTTTAAGCAGCTTGGACCGCCGAAAGGCCCCTCTCGTGTGGCCATAAAGATCATTTCACACCTCATGAACCTGATATCAAATGCTATTCATGGAGGATACGGGAGTGTGCTAGTCTGCCGTGTACCATTTATGAGCTGTTACCTTCCTCCACAACTGATAGTTACATAATTTACAAGCGGGCCACAGTGGCCCGATCAAGTGTGACAGCACCACCACTGATAGCATTCTTTCCTGTCTCAAGGACAACAACTTGGAAAATCACCTTGCCGTTTTCCAACCACATCTCAGTCTTGAGTGTCTGACCTGGGAGGACAGGGCTGGTGAACTTGCCCTTGAGGTTCTTGAATGATCCGTATTTCTGGAACAAGTGCTTTCCAGCCACGCCAAGCGAGCACAAGCCGTGCAAGATGGGCGTTGGGAAGCCTCCTTTTGCGCTGAAGTCTGGATCAATGTGAAGAGGGTTCAGGTCACCATTGAGTCGGTACAAGGCAGCTTGACCCTCTGACGTCTTTTCTTCCACCACGTAGTCTGGTGCTCTGGGGGGAGGTGCGTTCTTAGCCGTAGCCGGGCCTCGATCACGAAGCTGGGCGTCTCCACCGAAACCACCGCCCTTGCGGACAAGCACTGTCGTTTCGTTGTAGAAAATCTCATTGCCGTTTTCGTCGACAGTTGTGAAGCCCTGAACAACCAGTACATCCTTGCCCTTATCGACTACTTGCACCAGCTTCGGGTACGTTGAGAGGACACCCGAAAGGGGAATCGGGGACCGAATCTCAAGGAATTGATCCACGTGAAGAAGCAATCTCAGGTCGTACTTGGACATGATATCATCCATTTTGTAATGCGCTTCGGCGTTGAAGAACGGGATGAGTCCAAAGACTGGCAAAGGGGTAAAATCCTTGTGTCCTTCAAACACGAGTGGAAGCTCAGTATGCTTAGCACCAACGGAGAGTGCATACAAGACGAGATCGCGTTGTGTGTATGCAAATTTTGAAGCCTTGGAAGCGGTGCTCTGCGCTTTGCGGATATTGGCAAGAACCACGTCGCCAGAGTTCAGCTAATCACATTAGTAAGATTTCACATTGAGGTTGTCACGCAGACTTCGTACCTTTGGTGCTCCATCTTGTTGGTTAAATAAACCAATATTCGCCTCGATGGTTGTGGGGTAGGACTTAGGCGAGTCTGTGAGGCTTGAAATCAGACTCGCTGCCTCATCCAAGCTCTTGACCTCTTTGGATTGCCCCTTGAGGACCTCCCAGCGCGTGTTGCCGAACCATCCGCTTCCCGCTTCAAATACTCCTCCAGAGATGCTCGGCGCAGTGACGTGGCTGGCTAGTGCGGAAACAATTGGTGCCACATGGGCTGGCTGGAAGAGCTTCGATACTTCGTCGCTGAGAATGCTCTTGGTCATGTTAGTGCCTGCATTTGGGGCAATGACATTAACCAGGATGTTGTGCTTTGCACCCTCGAGGGCCAGAGCGCGCGTAAGACCAATGATGGCGGATTTCTGCGGTCTGGGGGTTAAAGAGACTCAATAACAGCTGGAGGGTGTAACTTACTGCAGCAGCATAGTTGGCCTGGCCAAACTGCCCGTAGATACCGGTCACGCTGGTGGTGTTGACGACTCGTCCATAGCCTTGTTTCACGAAGTGAGGCCATGCAGCTCGTATGTTCTTGTAAGTTCCTCCCAGGTGGACCGAGAGTACTGGGTCCCATAACGCTTCTGACATGTTGTGGAAAGCCTTGTCTCTCAGAATGCCAGCGTTGTTTACAACAACGTCTATTCTTCCAAAGGCACGGATGGTGGCGTCCACGTTTTTCTTGCCGTCTTCAGCCGAGCCAATGACTGATGCCGCCTTGCCACCCAAATCTCGAATCTCCTCCAAGACAGCCGATGGATCAGCGATATCGTTGACCATGACAGATGCGCCAAGAGACGCGAAATGGAGGGCATACGCTCGGCCGAGGCTATCGAATGGTTAGGGAAAGGGATGTAGAGGGCACCAGACCACGTACCCAGAACCAGCGCCGGTGATCAAAACGACGCGACCCTTGAAAGAAATTGGATCGGTGCTTTCGTTTGGCGGCAACTGCGCCCCCTTCTTCTGAAGATCCAGAAAGTCCCGTGGGCCAGAAGCATAATCGGGCTTATCAAAGTTGGTCACTTGCTTCCAGTTCTTCAGCAACACTGCAGGCGTCAACGTATCGTCCGCATGGAGCAGCAAGCCACCCGACCGCTGCCAACGAAGTCGAGCCACCTGATTGTCGCTGATCTGGAAGCACGTGCCGCTCTCTTTCTTGTTCTTTTCATGGACCAGGAAAGCTACGATAGATGCTGATTGATCGAAGTTCGGCGCAGCGGAACCGGTTGTGGAAATCGGCATGACCACATTGACGAGAATATTCTTCTTCAAGCCTTCCTTAGCGAGCGTGTAACTGTATCCGACTTGCGAGTGTGCTGCTGCTGTATGACGAATGACTATTAGTGCCAAAGTTTCGTCTGGTCAAGGAAGCATCACAAACCTGCAGTGGCTACCTGGCCTGGTGATCCGTGCAATCCTACTAGGGAGGAGACGTTGATTATCCGACCGAAGCTTTGGTTTCGAAAGTGCTTCCATGCTGCATTCGTGGTCTGATCATGGTCAACCGACGCTCAATGACCTACATTCCGGGGTACTTACCAAGTAGTTCCCTTTGATGTGAAGCTCTGTTTCGGCAGACCACTCGGCGTCGTCCAGATGTTCAAAGCTCTTCGACTGCGCAGCGGAGCCAGCAGCATTTATCAGAATGTGCAGTCCTCCGAAGCTCTGTACAGCGGTCTCAACAATCTTCCCACCGTTAAGGATGCTGTCGGTGTTAACAATGGCTTTGCCGCCGTTTTTCTCTATGGCTTCCGCCACGGCCGCAAGGCTCTGTCAAAAATCAGACATTACCCTGTGCTAATGTGCAATTCCGCATCATCTCACCTTGGCATCGCCAAATTGATCGTTGATCACGACAGAGGCTCCTGTGGAGGGATTGTCAGGAACTGGGTCATCACGTCTTCCAAGGGAAGTTACTCACCTCTGCTGCCCAGCAGCTCTGCACAGGCACGGCCGAGTCTATGAGGCGTCAGTCAATAAGTTCCTGAGGTGCAATGCGTGTGGCAAGCTAACCCTTGACTCGCTCCTGTTACAATGGCGACCCTGCCTTCAAAGTCACGTACTGCCATGATCTTCAGTTCTACCGGTTTTTGCGAGAAAAGGCTGCGTTAGACGAGAAAAGCCGGAGTTCTTCTGTGCTAATTGGCTTCTCTGATTACTACGCGACGTGCCGCCCGACTTTATTGATCTGGAGTTCATCCCACGAGGCCTGGTCAATTGGACCCTAGCCTGGATTCTGACCGAGGTCAATGGCGTGGCAATTGTTTCGGGGACAGATATCGGTATACTTGAGCTTACTGTGACCATGCCACATGGTGAGGTGCAGCGAGTCATGGTAGCCACACCACGCTAAAGCCCCTGTGGTAGGGCAAGGTTGGTGTTTTCGGCAGTTTTGCCGGACGTTCCCTGGCCATCTGCAGTTCGGCAAACATTTTCGGCAGTTCGCGATAACTTTGGCATGCCACATGCGCCTCAATCCGACCCTGAGAAACGGTCGCCCATCGAACTAACTACGTATGCATCGGAATTCATGTTCTATAATCTGCCAGTACTGGAACAGCAATCTCTTGGAAAACGGCATCACTCGCCAATTAATTTGTTGTTTTCATACGTGTTGGCCTGTTTCTCTGTCCCGTAGCGAGGTACCAATGTCACTCAGACATCCCTCTTCAGTCGCCGTACATGTATGCTAACCTCAAGGCTCCACTGAGTCCAGGGCTTGGGCGTCTTCGGACCTCGGGGGTGATTCCCGATGCCGAAGGCAAAGCAACAGTAGCCCCACCTGTCTTGTGAACGTTCGTTCATGACACTTTGACTTACGATGCATTGTGGCAGACCAACCCCGCGTCGCGTGGGGACTACCTCAGGCAATGCTGCCATTGCGGCAGCCGACCCACCTGTCCCACTGGAGTTCTCCGTGATCCCCCAGATAAAGCAATTATATCACTAGGCTGGGGATCTGGTGTTCAAGCAATTGGCCCCAATCGCCAAACAGAACTTTACCTAATCCTTGAAGTCTTTCCGTTCCGTAATCAGAGGATACCATGGCAGACTATCGGAATACACGAGTGTCCATCATCGGGGCCGGTAAGCCAGTCAGCAAATCTAAAGGTTGATGTCTTCTAAATCGAGCAGGAATGGGCGGTCTTACTGCCGCACTCGCTTTTGCCAGAAAGGGATTTAAAAGAATCGATGTTTACGAAAACGCGCCTGCGCTGGGATTCGTTGGAGCTGGTATTCAAATTGCACCAAATTTGATCCGCGTCCTCGATAGGCTCGACATTTGGCAGGATTCCGCCATTGCACGCGAGGCGACAAACGTCAAGGAAGTATTAGTCCTTGACGGTCCAACGAATGACGAGCTAGCTCGGGTACAGATGATAGATGTCAGCCAGAAGTACGGGTACGCACACCATGCCGGCCATCGTGCTTCACTGGCTGGCGGTATCTATGATGCCGCCAAGGCTGAGCCTGCAGTGCACTTTCACTTTGGCCACACGTTCGAAGCCGTTTCGTCATTCGGGCCTGGCCCTGTTCACTTTGTTGTGAAAGACGAAGGCGAGGTTCGCCAGTTTCTCCAGACCGACATTCTGATTGGAGCCGATGGGATTAAATCTGCTGTTCGGGACTCTCTACTCAGCGGGCTTGATCTCTCAGCAGAGTCTGAGGAAACTGGAACCTCAGCCTACCGCATTCTGGTTGATCGCGAACAAATGGTCGCTGACCCAGAACTGCTTTCTCTGATCGATAGCGACGTTGTGCGACGATGGACCGGACCAAGAAGACACCTCATTGCGTATCCCGTTCACAACCACACGATATATAATATCGCCACGACGCAGCCCGATGTGAACTTTGCGGGTCCGACTAATACGGCTTGGTCGACCAAGGGTGACAAGACAGCCATGAAGGCTGTATTTGCAGACTTTTGTCCCCTCGTTCAGAAGCTGCTTGACCTCGCGCCTGAGGGTGACGTTGTCGAATGGCGATTGCGCAGCCATAAGCCATTGGGTACCTGGACCCGTGGAGCGGTTGCGTTGTTAGGAGATGCTTGCCATCCAACGCTACCACATGTAGCTCAAGGGGCTGCCATGGCCATCGAGGATGCGGCCTGCTTGGCAGAGATTGTATCTCTGGGACTGGGTACCGGTTTTGACTCGGAGACAATCCCTCGCTCCTTGAAGGCCTACGAACGCCTCAGGAAGCCTCGAACTTCAAACATTGTGGACCTAGCCGCTGCTTCAGCTCGGTCACTCCATCTGCAAGATGGGGAAGCAAAGAAGGAGAGAGATCGACAATTTGCGGCTGCCAAGACCAAGGGAGCTCCCGTGCCAGATAAGTGGGTAAGCCCAGAAGTTCAACAGATGGTCTACGGCCATGATTGCGTGCAGGATGCTCGAGAGAGGTTTGCTGGACTTTTTCGCGGCCATGACAGCCGTCTGTGAGAGCTGAGTGTTGATTCTACCAAATGTATTGTCAAGGAGCCTGAATTTGTCAATAAAAAGTATTATGAGAAGGCAGCTGCAGAGGAAACTGAAACGAGAGGCTGAGCGAACGCGCCGGGCTAAGGATGCTACAGTGACATGTGCATCACGGCTGTGGTCGATCCTTACAGCTTCTGAGGTTGGGCTTCCACATTTCTTCTTAAACCGTCCCTACATATTGACTGCGGTACCGACGATATGAGAGGCCTTCACTTTCTCCATAAGCATGTTCTGACATCGGGCTGTGTGGACCCCTTCAAGCAATCTGGTCCATCGACATCGCTCAGATTCAATGGGTTGCTTTCATGTTTCCTTTTAGGAAAAGCATGTATTCCTTAAATCCAGGCCAGTGATTTGAACGTAATGGATTGTGCAAACAGGGTGCATGTATGAGACATGGGTATCCTAGTCACGACGAAGACGCCGCTCAAAGTTGCTCAAGATTCCTAATGATGGTTGAATAGGTCCTGAAAATTTACAAGTACTGCGAGATTCTTCTTACAGAAAGCTGGAGTATGAACCCTAACGACAGACCGTTACAGTTTGGCCCCCACGGGTGCCTTGTAAAGATGGATCATCTTTGGGTTGAGGAACGCATGGAGACCTTGTCTTCCACCCTCTCCACCAATGCCCGACTCCTTCTGACCGGCAATATAGGCTTGTGGAAGGGGCTTCTCGAAACTGTTAATCCAGACAGTACCGGCCTCAATGCGAGATGCGAGATGATGAGCGCGCACAAGGTCCTTCGACCATACGGCACCTCCAAGTCCAGTGGTGGTGTCATTGACTCTCGAAATGAGGTCGTCTTCGTCTGACCACTTCATCACTGGAACTATGGGTCCTAAAAGAATGTCAGACATGGCTCTAATAAATGGCTGCCGTAGCTTACCAAACGCCTCCACTTGGACAACGACTGAAGAGTCAGGAGGGCACTCGACGATGGCAGGAGGGATGATCAAGCTGGAGCTGTCCAGCTTCTTCTGCCCTCCCAAGGCAAATTTATAGCCATTGCGGGTAGTGTCGTCTAAAATCGAGTTGACTATTTTGTATTGCATATCGTTTTGTACGGGGCCAAGCATTACCCCTTCGGTGGAAGGAGGTCCAACCTTCCAAGATGCCACTGTTTCGACAAGCTTTTTGAGGAACGAGTCATAGACATCTTCGTGCACGTAGATGCGCTTGCTAGCCACACAGAGCTGGCCCGAGTTGAAAAACGAACCAAGGGCAACCTCTGGTGCTGTAGTATCAACATCGACGTCCGGGCAAATGATGCTTGCACTGTTGCCGCCAAGTTCGAGGGTAATATTCTTCAAAGTCTTGCTAGCCGATTGCATAATCTTTTTACCTGTTGCTGTGGACCCGGTAAAACTGATCTTTTGGATGCCTGGATGGTCGCAGATCATAGGCCCGAGTTCTGGTCCTCCATTCAATGCCTGCAACACTCCAGGTGGAAAGATGTGGGACACGATCTCTGTAAACTTAACAATGCTGTAGGGCGTATACGGCGAGGGTTTAGTGATCACACAATTCCCTGTGACCAGAGCCGGGGTAATTTTCGAGAGGCCCAAGATGAGGGGGAAGTTCCATGGGCATATGGCGCCGACCACGCCGACTGGGGCATAATGCAGTGTTAGACGTAGTTCGGCGTCATCCTGTACTATCTCAGGCATTGGTTCTTCCATATCGGCTACTTTGTTTCAGTCCAGTACAAAAGGTCGGTGAACAGTGCACTTTACCGTAATAATCGATATACCGCAGACCGTGAGCCACCTCTAAATCAGCAAATTGCGGTGGCTTTCCTCCTTCGGATGAAATCAGTTTGGCCATGGATTCCCTGTTCTCCTGCAGCAACGCTCTGGCCTGCCGAAGGCAAGCCTGTCGTTGTTTCCAGGAAGTCTGCGACCATTTGGGGAACGCTGCCTGAGCTGAAGTAACGGCATCATCAAGGTCTTGAGCAGATGCGACGGGAATGTCCCACAGGGGCTTGCGAGTCGAAGGATCAATTCCGTGGCTCACGGTTTTGCCTGTGCGTGGCGCGCCAGCAATAATATTGCGATATGTAGAAAAGTCGACGCTCATCTTGAATGGTGTCGAATACGCGAATCCAGAGCCGTGGACCGCAGATGGAATTCTGTATAAGGTCTTCATTTTCAGCAGTGAAATGCTCATGAGCTATCCCACATGGAATGACCCGGCCTCCGTGGGGAACCCCACATGCACTGCCTCCACGATCCCACCTCACAATCAGTCGCCTGCAGGTCAGCAGTGCTGGTCATTTCGGTTATAGTTTTGACACAGTCGACCCCACATGAACGAACATCTGCCATGATAATGAAGCCATCCACCTCCTCCTCTGCGCTCCCCTGCCGAGGAAGGCAGGCATGACGTTGCTGGAACCTACCGCCAACTACTACAGTAGCTCACTGCCAGCTGCGGGGAATAAATTGTAAAATCGTCGGTGGTCCGCCACGGTACCACGGTGCCACCGCAGTATCTGGGGATTAGTCACGCCACCTTCTCCATGTTCATGTGGGAAGAGCTGGAGTCAGATTTCCCCACAGATCTATACTCTGATTAGTCTTCAT